CTTCCTTCCTTCCTTCCTTCCTTCCTTCCTTCCTTCCTTCCTTCCTTCCTTTCTTCCTTCCTTCCTTCCTTCCTTCCTCCCTCCCTCTTTCAACTTTCTTCTTCATCTTTTCCTTCCTTCCTTCCTCCCTCCCTCCCTCTCATTCCCATCTCCTCCATTCCTCCCTCCATCTCTTTTCCTTGCTTCCTCCCTCCCTCTTATTTATTTCCTTCCTTCTTTCCTCCCTCCCTCTCTCGCCATCTTTTATTTCCTTCCTCCTTCCCATCTCCTCCATTCCTCCCTCCATCTCTCTTCCTTGCTTTCTTGCTTCCTCCCTCCCTCCCTTCCTGCCTCCCTCTCTCTTATTTCCTTCCTTCTTTCCTTTCTTCCTTCCTTCCTTCCTCTCTCTTTCTCTCTCTTCCTTTCTCTCTCTCGTTCTCTCTCTTTCAGTGCAAGCCTCCGTAGGACGAGCTGGGATGCAGGCAGGTAACACTTCTGGGGGTGGGGTGGGGTCTTTGGCAAGGCAGGTGGGGAACATCGGCTTGGGCCCCTGCTCACCTGAGCCCCCCCCCCCTCTCTCACCCGGCCTCCTGGCCCTTAAGTGAGGTCGCTTGCGCCATCCAGTTGCACGCACGAACTCAGAAAGTGGCAACTTTGTGCAGCCTTGGGAAGGCACCCTGACTCTTGTGTGGGGCGGCTTCAGGGGGTCCCCACAGAGGGGAGGGGCGAGGCCTCTGCCCACAGCTGGGGGGCTGGGGCTCCAATGTTCATTCCCCCTCCTCCTCCGTCTCCCTCGCCCCCCCCAGATGCCAACGGGACCATCCGCGGATGGGCGGAAGCCAAGCTGAACGCCACCAACCCCCTGCGCTACGACAACAGCCGCGGAGAGTTCACAGTGGTCAAAAGGGGCCTGTACTACCTGTATTGCCAGGTGAGCTCAAAAGGGAGGGGGGCTTGTGGGTAGGAAGAGCAAAGCATTCTGGGACTTTGCCGCGGATTGGCGGGGATGGTCACGAGAACCCTTGATTGACCCTTGGGTGCGTTTCAAGGGAGTTGATTGGCTAACTCCGTGTTGTTCCAAGAGGGGTGGACTTCAACTCCCAGAATTCCCCAGACAGCATTGAAAAACAAACGCGCGGGTAGTCCTCAAGAGTTCATTTAGTGACCATTCAAAGTTAACGACGGCACTGAAAAAAAGGGATTTATGAGCATTTTTTCCACGACCATCGCCGCGTCCCGGTGGTCACGCGATCAAAATTTAGTCATTTGGCAACTGACACGTATTTATGACGGTCGTAACGTCCCGGGGGAGGGTCACAGGATCCCCCTTTGCGACCTTCTGCAGGGGGAAGCCAGATTCACTCAACAACCGGGTGACTCGCTTAACAACCGCAGGGATTCACTTAACAGCCGTGGCGAGAAAATTCGTCAGATGGGACAAAACTCATTTCACAACTGTCTCGCTTAGCGGTGGAAATTTGGGGCTCCCTTGTGGTCCTAAGTCGAGGACTCCCCTGTAGGCGGGGGTGGGGGGGAGGTTGACCCTCAGAACTTTGGACATAAATGATAAGTCCCCTTTTTCAAGTAGGTCGCAACTTTGAACGAAGTGTAAGTAGAGAACTCGATTCACGCGCGCGACGGAGCCCCGCATTTCCCATCCGTGTTGCTTCTCCTGTCCACGTTTCTAGGTCCACTTCAACGAGGGGAAGACGGTCTACATGAAGCTGGACGTGATGTTGAGCGGCCAGCTGGCCTTGCGCTGTTTGGAGCAGTTCCCCCCCACCAGCTCCGGACCCCAGGAGGCCGAACTCCACGTCTGCCAGGTGTCTGGTCTGCTCCTCCTGCGTCCCGAAGCCTCCATCCGTTTGCGCACCATCCCGGAGGTCCGTCTGAAGGCTGACCGCTACCTCACCTATTTCGGCCTCTTCCAGGTCCACTGAGAAGACTGGGCAGCGGGAATGACCGCCGGGCCGGGGTCCCGGGTGGGCTCTGCAGAAACAGAGAGGAGGCACACACAGCCCCAGTTGCTGCCTTCCGTACGGCGGACACGTCCGAGCGCACAGCGGCGTCCCGATTCTTCCTTTTTTGTTTCTGGACCGGCAATTCTCCGTTTCTCATTTGGGGGATCCGTGATTCCGACATCCACCCGGGTGCCAGCAAGTTAAAGGGTGGTAGGGCACGGGGGGCTGTCTTCTAACCAGGCGCTGCTCCTTCCGCTTGGTTGCAAAAACTCTGCAGTCCAAACAGCGGCGGGAGTCCAAAAACCGATCCAACAACGAGGAACTGCGTCAGTGACGTGTGCGGACTCCGATTATCTACTCCCATTCCCAACTCTGTTATGCTTTGCACCCTGGCTGGGCCACCCCTGGCGTCGTCTGTTTTGTATTTTTATACTTTTATGCCGCTTTTTTGTCGGGCGCACTGGATGCTTCGAAGGGTCCCTGCCCTCTTGGTGCGGTACGACATGGATGCGACACGTTCACGCACCACCAAGCGGGATTGTCGTGCAGCCGTGGAAGCCGCCCAGGAAGGACCCCCCCTGGAGCACATGTGGCTCCACAGACTGATGTTTGCATCCCAGCCAGCAGGGGGAGACAGGACCCCGAGGAAGTGGATGCTGAGCCTCCCCCCCCTACAGGGAAGGGCTGAGGCCCAAAGGATTGACACTCCCCATTGGCTGTGAGAAGGGGAAGGGGCCCAAGCCCTGCCCCAGTGGTTGGTTTCTGTGAGGGAGGGTGTTCAGACAACTACTTGGGGCTACGTGCACCCAAGTTACACGCACGTTGGGGCTGCCAAAGGTTGCGTGCACCTGCCGATGCAGTATCGCGTTGCAAACACCTTGCGCGCATCTGCGAACGCAGCGTTGCCAAAGGCCGCGTGCCGTTGCGAAGCATTGCCGAGGGTCAAAACTGCAGCCCCCCACCCCACCTGGGAGCATCGATGCGCAGGGCCTCTGATGCAACCAAACCTGTGGATGATGGTCTTTCCCCTTTCCACACACCCCCCGCCCCAATCTATATCTACGCAAAGGTTGCAATGGGCAGCAATGGCCGACACAGCTTACTACGCAACTCATTTATTTTATAGGAAATGTACAGGGAGGGGGGCGAAATACCCCGCCCCACCGTTTGCTTTTAAAGCCATGCTCCTGGCCACCGTCCCTGCTCGCCACAACATTTAACAAGGCGGTGCCCTCTGGCACGGAAAGTTGGCGCCCTCCCGTTTTACGCCACAGCGTCGAAATAAAAGTTGAACAACGCAGGTTTTCGGGCTCTCGTTTCCTAGCAGGCGCTTTTGCAAAGGGTGCCGTTGGTTGTGTATTGTGTGACACACACACACACACACACGTGTGTCCCTTGCGTGGGCGCCGAGCGTTGGCCATGCCAGCCTCGTGCGCCCCACGCAACTTCCTGTTTGTGTACCTCAAAACACACTGCCCTTCCTTCCTTCTTCGGAAGCGTGGGTGTTTTCCAAGGGAGATGTTGTTCTGCTTGTGCGGCCAGGGTGTACGTTGTGTTTTTTTTGCCGAGGGGGTTTTGTGAACATCGCACCAGCAACAAATCGCTTACAACTAGCACGGAGTTGCTTCCGGGAACTCCACTGAGCTGTAACCAAAAGCTTAAAAACGGGGGATTTGTTTGCTCGGCCTTCAAGGAACCAGACGCAGCAAAATGCAGGTGGTCCT